GTGACTTTCGCAAATCAACGAGTACAAAATGAGACGTTAACAAGCTTTAATTAGGTATTTTTAGGTGATTGGAAGGTATGGAAGGAGTGACTGGCGGTAATAGACCATTTTCCGTTCACTGCGAGAATCACGTGTTATGCGTGAAATCGAATGTAAAAACAGGACAAACAAAGGTCATAGCGTCGTAGTGGCGTCAAACATCGCGTGGGATTCGACAAACGCGAAGGTATTTGGGGGATATTTCCATGCTTAATAATGTGCTGTACACATTTGATGATAGGTAATTTCGTTTAAGTGAGGGTATTCGAAAGCGATATTCCTTTGTCGAAAATCGGCCGGTCGATGTGAGCTACGAAATAAAGAAATTCGAGTTCAAAATCAAATCGTTCGATTTTTGCTGCAGACGTTCGACGCGCGTCTTTGATGCATCTCGCGAGATCTCGCAGTTGAACGGAAAATCATCTATTAGTGCAACTCGCGCCCAGGTCAAACCTATACATGTGATTTCCATTCAGAAGAACACATTGAATTGTGGGAAATCAATGTTTATCAACACAAGTGTCGCCCTCAAAGTTAACGACTGTCGCCCTTAAAGTTCAGTCAGTTTATTTTCTTTTTCATAATGTCGTGTTCGCATGACCGGGGGTTTCCCACTAGAGCATGACAATGTCAACATAAAACTATTACAGTTTGTCTGTAGAAATAGTTTCACCTTAAAATTTAGATGAAATTTTGACTTTGAACCGTGTCTTTTTTTCGACAAAGATGCGACAATATTGACTCCAGAATTTACTTATAGCAATTTTTGTGCAATATAATTTACATGAATTTGAAAGTAACGAAAATGTTGATGAAATTCTCTACATCATCTCAATTGCAAGCTACGGCGCGTGTAACGTTCAACGTCGGAGAGACCCGGATGTAGTCTTTCCCGTAGAATATTTAGTTGAATCTTCTAAACACAATTTTATAAGTAATTAAACAACTGTGCACTGCTTGGAAAATAATCGCCTACATCTTATGCTATTGGGTTTAGTGTCAAGTTACATGTCGTGGCGTCCTCAATCCCCTGGAAATCATGGACTCGCCATGAATGTGTCAGTCGCCGCTGCTCGTTGGGATCACATCCCTCGACATAGGCCATAGATTCTTTGATTCACAAATCTGTACGTTGAACCTATGATCACACAGCATATATCACCAAAAAATCGCATATTTTAGGAGGTATTTAGAATACATGCTCACTAATTATTAGCTGGTTCACCATACTATTTTTTGTTGTTGATCACTCAGTTCATTTAATGCGAATATCGTTGTTATCTTGTGTTGTGAAAATACAACCATTTTATTCAACGAAGAGGGCGCTACTGTATTGCGCCCTCATATATCATGTAATCTGGAACAAATGAACGAAATTACAGAGATGTATTTGGAATAACTAGAGAGAAATTGTGTAAAATAAATAATCTTTTTGTGTAAAAAGAGTATTGGGTGTGCACAGGAAAGCATTTAATGACCCACGTAGAGGTGAATTAGGTCAATATCCACTTATATTTAATAATTGTGTTTCATGTTAAAAAATACAATTCTATCATTGATGCAGCCTATGAAGAATCCAAAACTGTTGTGCATGACCCATGGCTTATCGTTATCCAAAAAGTACTAGTGATTGTAAGCTTGACTTTTAGGTGTTGTACATTATTTAGAAAAAAATAAAAATCATAGAATAGCTTATACTGAATTTAGAACTTCTGCACATTCTCTTTCCATTGAATTCGGTAGACATAAAGACATTTTGAAAGACACCAGGCTGTAATCTCTATGAATGCAATGAAGTGAGATGAGATACATTACATGTTATATTGTAATAACTGTCAAATCAAAGAAGATAAAGATCCAAATTCCTTGCATCTCTATACATCTATGCCCCAAAGTTGGAAGCTTGTAGCATGGATGTTTATTATTTCTAATTATTATTTCAAGTATTGATTCTTTATTTATTAGCATTTTTTGCAAAATATATTTTCTATATTCTTGATGTTTTAGTACTGTAAGTTTTTTTGTCCTGAATGTTTTGTTGTTGTTATTATTGGACGTTACTCAAGCTTTCATTGGTACGTTCCAAATAAAATTCTATTATTTTATACTGTTACAGTACTATATATCTTTTTTTTGCTTTTTTTTTAACCCACCCCTTATCACAGCGTTTTTAC